CCCTTAGCACTGATGGAGGTGGCCCGGCTTACACAGCCTGGCTCTGGCCCTTAGCACTGATGGAGGTGGCCCGGCTTACTCAGCCTGGCTCTGGCTCTTAGCACTGATGGAGGTGGCCTGGCTTACTCAGCCTGGCTCTGGCCCTTAGCACTGATGGGGGCGGCAGCTGGGATGAGCCAGGACCTCTTTGGTAAAGTGGCACATTCTTCATCATCAGCCTCAGCTTGGGGGCCATGGGCACAACCGTGGCTCAGATCAGGGAGAAAATGGAACTCATGCTTTTGCGGATTTGCTTGCCTAGGATGGTTTGGGAGACCCGCACAGAATGTGACTAAGAGCCAGCACGTGTGTTTATCACAAAAGACAGATCTCCTCCATCTCTAGACAGCTTCTGTTTTGTGGTCTGCCGTGTGCTTCTGCTCTTCTTGCAGGTATCCATAGACCGCTGGCTTTCATGTCAGGGTGCTCGGACCTGTTCCACACCGAGGAAACGTCTGTGTCCCTGCCTCCGGCCTGCTCAGTGGTCATTAACCTGTTGCTCAGTTAGAGTTAGATGGAAAGATTTCAGGGGAATGTGAGGATACATCTTACCTAGATCACACTCCCTCATCAACTTGTCATCCCTGGGGAAGTTGGTCACGGGCAAGCCCGTAGCTGGACTTTATTCTCCTCACCCCCGGTTACGTGTCCGCCGGCCTCCTCCTTGCTTATCTTTTCTTTAACCCACGTGCCGTGCAGTTCAGTATCATTATCAAGCCGCTGTTTGAGTCCTTCAAGGGGATGGTGTCCACCAGCAGCCTGGAAGAGCTGCACCGGACGGCGCTGTCCTGGCTGGACCAGCACTGCTCCCTGCCCGTCCTCAGGCCAAGTGAGTCGGGGGCTACGCAGGGGCTGCGGCATCACGGGGGCTCGCCAAACCCTTGAGGATAGTCCTGGGGAGAGGAGGGCCTTTGCAGAGAGTGCCGTGGCAGGTCCAGGCACCCCCATAAGCAGCTGCGTCAGCAGGAGGCCCCGGCCGGAGAGGCCGGCTGCGGGACAGGGGCATGGCCCCTAGCGCCTCTCCTTTGCTTCCTGTCATCGCCGTGCGTCCGTGTGCTCAGGTCCGCCTTGTGTTTATTGAGCACCTACTGTTCACCAGGCCCTGTGCTTTCAGATGTTTTCAGATTTAATTCTTAGAACTAACAAGGCTGCGCCCTTATACTAAGGTTATAGAGGTGGACAAACAGGAAGAGCTTGGGGTTCCCTGCTTGTCTGCAGGAGAGGAGACGGGATTTGCAGTTATCCTAGGGGCAGAGAGGCTTTGCCGGCGTCTGTCCCTCAGTGGCGCTCTCCTTCGGTGACATGAGAATTACCACACGGGTTTGCGCGGAAGAGCGCGTGTGCTGTCCACGGTGGGACCTGAAGCGGCCTTGTGTGCCTGTGCCCCTGGGCTAACCTCCCCCTTTCTTCCAGCGGTGCTGCACACCCTCCGGCACCTGAGCACCACCACCTCCGTTCTGACAGACCCGTCCCAGCTGCCAGAGCAGGCGGCAGAGGCCGTCACCGGAATCGGCAAGAGATCGGGGGAGTCTTAGCGGCGCCTGGCGGGCACGTGGCCGCGCAAGATGCCATGGAGGCTCTTCCCTGCCCGCGGAGAGGGTGCTGCACCCCATGCCTCTCCTGACGCAGAGCTCAGGGCCCCCCTCCAGCTCCACCGGCCCACTGGGCCACTCAGAACACTGCGCTCAGGTCTGAAGCAGGTTCGGGTCCTGCCGACAGCAATAGCCCGTCTTTGGGAACCCCTTGCTGTGAACTCTTACTCATTGACCTCAGTCGTGACCTCCCCTGCCCTCAGGCAACCCAAAGTCCCGTCCTGCCGGTGGTCTGCCGGGCCCCTGGCGCCTGAGCAGGGAGTAGAGGGGACAAATGGGGCACGGCCTGCTCCTGGGAGCTGGGAAGCATAAGGGTTCCTCTTTGGTTCTGTCCTCAGACTTCTGGATGCTCGCTCCTGTCACCCCTGGGCACTCGGATGGCGCTGCTCTGACTTGCCTGGGGGGCAGGTGGAAGGCACTTCCCTTCCTCCCTCAGATTCTGACCTTGTAAGTAGGTTTGGACAGCTGCTCCCACCACACAGGCCGCCAGGGAACCCCGGAACCCACGTGCAGAAGCGGTGGGTGTGCACGCTCGCGGCGTGAGAAGGATCGCACATCAAGGCGAAGCTGCTGCTCTGGCTCGGAGACCCCTCAGGTGGCGCCGCGGGCGGCCTCGCTCTGTTCTGCCGGTGCCGCGGCAGCCACCATCGGTGGCTTGAGAACCGTGGCGGGGACTCCAGCGGGGCCTCACTGGGCGCCACCTCACCGCATGGCCCTTGTTCTCCACCTTCCTCCAAGCCACAGCCTGGGATGAGCCAGCAGCCTTGGGTGCATGCTCGCAGCCCTGAGAGCGCGGCGTTTGAGAGGCCAGACTCCACGGTGCTGCCATGGGTCTGTCACCTTGCCTGGATGGTTCAGCCAGGAGCCCCAAACCATAACAGTTCTCGGACCAAAGATGTCACCACACCCAAAGTCTGTCCTGTGTTGTGTTTGGAGGAAGAAATTGAATGTTGACGGGCAGCTCTCTGAGGCAGCCAGCCTCAGAGCTGTCTCTGGGCATCTTCCAGGTCATACAGTGAAGAGTTACACTCATGTTTGATCAAGGCGGAGGGATATCTGGAGGCAGCGGCCTGCTTCTGAATGTGGAATTGTGTTCGGGGTGTCCAGGCCCATCCTCTTGCTGTATGTGCAAGAGGAGCTGCAGATGGAAGGGTGGGTGCTCTCTCTAACACTCAGGAAGCCCAGCCAAGGGTACCTCCTCGTTGAAAGAATGTGCTTTTAACGTCCTGCTGTGAAGTTCAGAGGCTCAGTGGACTTTCCATTCAATCTCTGTCCTCCCTGCCAGAGATGGAGCCTGGGCAGTGCTAGGCAAGGCTGGAAATGCTGGGGTAGGCTCTGGGGGGGCGCTACTGAGGGCAACCTCCTGCAGCTTGGACCCATTTGGAGGCTCCCGCGGGTTCCTGGAGGCCTGCTGAAGGTGCTCGGGGGCAGCCAGCCCTGCCTCAGCTTCAGTTGATGGAGGATGGCAGGGGTGACGTCTCTCTGCCGCCGGCTGTGCCACCATCTCTCCTGCAGGTCACCGACTAGTCACCTACTCCCTTGTCTGTGCTTCAGCCCCGCACAAGAGCAGCTTGGCGGCAACCCTCAGTCTCTCCAGAAAACGTGTTTACAAGCCTCCCAGATCACTCCCCTGAGGGGCAAGCACAAGACAAGGCTGGGCTGATCCTTAATGTCCACTGGGAAGTGGTAAGAGAACTCATCCTTCACCCCAGGATAAACTCGGAGTTGTGCTTCCAAAGGGGAAGACCACCATGGTAAGAACTCACTAGGGTCAAAAGGAAAAACACGAGGTATCCCCAGGGCTTGTGGGGGGTCATGAGCTCCGTCCCTTCCCCAGTTCCTGTGCCTTTGTAAACCACGTGAGTGGCCGGAATGCTTGGCCCACCAAGACCTCTCCTAAATGAGCAGCCTTCTCCCCACCCGGTGCTGGGAGTCTTTTTTTTTTTTTTTTTTTT